CACGCTGGCTCAAATTAGTTTCATTTTCTGACTGGAAACGGGCCCAGAGCTGTTCCACCCGTTCTGGCATGTGTGTCGCGTGTGCGCCTCTTACTCGCTCTTGGTGTGCGTGTGTGGTCATGATGGCCGACAGGAGGACTAGCAAGCTTTTTTCTGCCGCTCAACAAAATGCCGAAAGTGTGACCGCTTGGCTTGAGCGTAATCCCCGCGTTAGGTGCCACGTTGCGGAGCGCTAGCTCATAGCTGTTGACCACCTGGCAGCCAATTTTTCACTTCGGATGTCGCGGTATTCAGCTGTGGAGATGGTGAGTAGTTCGTGGGCGACGGTGACGGCTACATGCTCACGAAACTGTTATTGTGAGGCCGACTTCATCGATGTCTGGCCCGATGCCGAGCCTGAAGCTTCCGAACTGCGGCAGCGCTTTGTTGCAGCGCGTCTTCGACTCAGACCTGGGAGAGCGGGTGGAACATCTGTTGCGATGGTTTAATTACGGCCGATGATGATGCCGACACTGCAGAACCATGCACAGATTGGGGCATCGTGAATGAAGTACGTGGCGAGAGCGATTTAGAGGAATCGGATTGCGAGAACGACGAAACTTTGGAGCCAGTGCCTCATGCAGCTTATGCCACGAGCCTCGGCGAACGAGCAGCCTGCCGTTTTAAATGAACTCGAGACCGCCCTTATCACTTCTGCTTTTCGAAACACATGCATCACGGACTTTTTGGGGCAAAAAAAGTTTGTTTTCACTCACAACTTTTTTAAAAGCTGTGTTTCATTTACTACGAACTTCTGGATACAGCAAACAGATGCCGCGTCACACTCAGGTTCGTTATAAGCGGGCTCGACTGTACAAGAAAAAAATTCTGACCCTCAACTCGATTTTTGCGGAGTCACTTGACCATATTTCACTCGCCCATGACGTCAAAAGGCTGCCCCAATTAAATAAGCTGGAAGCGCCCACGTAGAAGAAGCTCGCACTCCGTTGTTGCATTTTTTTTTTTTTTTCATAGTAATGTAGACGTTGTGCCCGACGCCTGTTTTTGCAGGAACGTGAGTGGGAGCTACAGTGTTGAAGCGAAGTATTTTCTGCTGTTTTTACAACATTCCGAATCACTCCCTCCTCTTATACTGAGAAAGGAACTTGTGAAACAACCAGGACAGTGAACTACTGTTGACCCTTCGCATGTTGTTTGGTGAGCTGCCCGACGAACAACAATGTGCACTGCACCGATTAAACAGTGCACGTGCAGAAAGAGACAGCTCGCAAACTCCTAAATGCAAGAAGAAGGAAGAAAGCAAGATTGGTCTTTTCGTATTGACATACGACTCAGGCAAGCCTAAAATCTAGTGGTGAAATGGCAGCCAACATCTCTGTCATGCTATGTCGTCGCAGTGATATATATATATATATATTTTTTGTGGCCGCATCCGTTTAGGGTTAGATGAAAAAGCACAGCGAAGAAAAATGAAACAGCTTAGTAACCTCCGTTTTTATCCTACACCATGATTGCTCCTAACGTTACATTTATCCAATCACATCTTCTGGCGTCATTTCCGCCCACAAAGTTTTGGCAAAAGCCACTATGTGATGATGCGGTCGGCAGCGATGTAGTGACATTATTGCATAATTTCATTTGATATCGGCGCTAAATCATTTGATATCGGCTCTTAGACGTATGCTAAGTTTATCCTCAGATATCTTGTACCACGGATCAAACCCAAAAAGCAGCGAAACAGACATAAAATATTTCAAAATCTACGCAAACCACAAATAAAAAAGAGGTGCTAAAATAGTGTTGGAGGGCCCCTTTAAGACATGTACTTTGCTCATTTTTACTGCATGGCTCACAATGCCTTTCAAATTCAGTGCCCTGTTCGACAGAAACTGCCACAACCGTGCAGTTTTCTCTTTATGAATATTTTCAATGATACAAGTGGTCATGGGCCAGCTAATATAAGGACATGCCTAAGGCCACTACAGCTCAGCATTCAATATGCAGGGTGCCTCGGTTAACTCGCAGCACGATTTTAAAAAAAAAGCTGCTAGCGTTACTTGAAAAAACCTGCTGCATATTGTTCATAGTACAGTGGACTAGTTGATAGTATTTTCTCGTTAGTTATATTTATTTACATGAACTATTTAAACATATAATTCTAGAACTACTATTCTGATCGTTGAAGCATCAATAAGGCAGCTGTAGTCAACTCCGTGGGGCATCAAACTGCGCTATTTTCAGCGATATATGAACTGCGTACTCAGTTTTTCTGAATGATAGATGGTCCCCACAAAATATGAAAAGTACCACATGACAGCGCCCCCGAAGAAGTTCATTGAAAGCGATTTCTTTGCCAGTCGCACATTCGAAGAGACAGCGCATTCACTTGACTGTGATATGCAAGCTACATGGCTTATCAGCGATTCATTCACCTCAGTTATAAGTTGCTTTTCTTACCCGCCTGTTATGACTCACTGATCCACTTGATAAGAATGGCTTTCGACAGCATGGTAGAAACACTACTTGTACCACGAATGAAACCCGAAAGGCAACGAAACAGACGTAGAATATTTCAAAATATCAGGTACTCCAACTGCAACGAAAGTTTGCATGTGCAGCTATATCTTGCGTCAGAAACTCGTTTTGGAGCTTCGAAGCAAAGTAAAATTAAAGTTGTGCCTTGAGTTTTTGTAATTAAGGGCAGCAAAAAAATGGCATTTGGCAAAAAATAAATAAAACTGAAACAAGCACATCGAAAAGCTACCCATGTATAGAAAGAAAGCAAAATCGATGCGTTGAAGAAGCAGAGTGTGTCACTATCAAATATGCCGATTATGGCAAACATGACATTTGTGCGAAAGAAAGCAAAAAAGTCAGATTTTAATGTTGATTTATTACTGGTACATTCACAAGCATCACTAAGCACTCGATACTGCTAGCAGGACGTGTTCAAATAGGTCTCCTCCTGCAGCTACACAGTACTGAGCCTGCTTTGCTGAATTCTCGGTTGCTTTTTTGATGACCGACGGAGGGATTCTGCTGCATATATACGTTACTATGGCCTTCTGGTCATCTGGAGTCTTCGTCTCGGTCATATACACAAGATCTTTCACGTATCCCCACAGAAAGAAATCCAGTGGAGTGAGATCAGGTGAGCTAGCCGGCCAGTGGACAGGCCCGTGCCTTCCAATCCATTGTTCATAAAAAGTCGCATTCAACCAGTTTTGTGAGCGGCTGCTGCTATGTGCTGGTGCCCCATCTTGCTGGTACCACAACAGTGGAAGACGTGACAGAGGAATTTCACTGCAAAATCTATCCACCGTTCCTTTAAGGATTCCATCCACGTAACGATGTCCAGTCAGCATGTCATCGAAGAAGATCGGGCCCCCTATATCTCCGGCGTAATCCGCACCAATCATTAAAAGACCACTTGTACTGGTGCAGAGTGCGCTTCTCCCCCTGTGGATAGCGGTCACTCCAGTAGTGGGCATTATGCAGATTTACTAGGGGCATTTTTGCAAAAAACTTGCATGATCTGTTTAGATCACATTACTAAGAAAGTTTGGAGATTCGTTGCATTTTGTGAGGATCCAGTTCGAGAAATCTAGGCGATCCTGCAAGTATCTTTGTTCCAAACATTGATACAGGTTAAGGTGGTAGGAATGCAAATCAGAGTTATTCAATACTTGCTAAACTGACGACTTGTAAATGAGTGCCTGGGCGGCCACGTCTTGCATGTTAGCTTGAGGGTTTGCTGCCATAAATGCCAGAGCATCAGCATGTAGGTTGTCACTTAAAGATGGGAGTTTTCAGCCGCTGTTCCGTGAAAGAGCTGGTTTCTCGCAGGTTTTTATAATTTCTCATGATTGTTGATGCATTAGGTCTACCGCCACACTTCCATGAGCGATAAATCTTTGCGGCCTTTCTTGTGTTGCCGTATGTAGCTCCCAAGGCAAAGATCATGCTCGCCTTTTGTTCATTAAAGAGGGCATGGTGACAAGCATGAAGAAAAACGCCCCTTCAAACCTTCATGCTGATTCCGAAACCCACTTCTGTGGTGACAGGATTCATTGCAAAAGAAAAAAGATCTGTCCATGCGCTATCAACGCAAGGCAAACAGCTTTAACTGCCCGTTTAACACCAAATGCGACTTTCTGCTTCGGGTGCGGCGCACGCGGCAAATAAAACATGAACATGGTCACGACTCTTTTTTCTTTCGTCCATTCATTTCCTTCTGCCGAGCTGATATTTTGAAATATTCTATGTCTGTTTCGTTGCTTTTCAGGTTTCATCTGTGGTACAAGCAGCGCTTCGACCATGCTGTCGAAAGCCATTCATATCAAGTAGATTAGTAAGTCGTAAGATGTGGGTAAGAAAAGCGACATATAGCCGACAGGATTAGGTCGCTGATAAGCGGTGGAGCTTGCTCGTGCTTCCATATCATAATCAAGTGGATGCGCTGCCTCTTCAGATGTGCGATCGGCAAAGGAATCACTTTCAACCAGCTTCTTTGGGGCCGCTGCTTTGCGATGCGGCTGGGAGCGCTACGATCGTTTATCATTCAGAAAAACTGAGTACCCAATTCATATCTCGCTGAAAATAGTGCAGTTTGATGTCACTCGTAGTTAATTATAACTGCCTCATTTAGGCCTCAATGATTAGAGCTGTAGTTTTAAAATGAGATGTTTATTTAATTATTGTATATATATGTAAAACAAAACATTACTATTGGCTAGTCCACTGTACTATGAACAATATGCAGTAGGTTTTCTTCGAGTAATGCTCGCGGCTTTCTTTTAAATCGTGCTTCGAGTTAACTGGGACACCCTGTATAAAGTGAAAATGGAGATTCCAACAGAAGTTCAATATGCACCTATTACAGTGCTATATTTTTGCACAAACTTTGCATGGTGATATTATCGTTCATATAAAAAATAATTTCCTATATACAAGTTAAACCGCATGTGCTATATTTGAGGTCAATCTTTAAAAACACTTACGTTTCAGAAGCCCGTCCTTAGGACAGACCTTGATAGCCACACAAACTATGCTGGGATCTATTTCCTGAGCAAGGAGAACCATGACAGCTGGTCCATACTCCTCCACAAATGCCATGCATTCCTTAGCCATGTCATTTGGCAGTTTGCTGCACAATTTGTCGAGTATAGCTTCCACTCTAGCCTGCAACAAAAACCAAAACATGAAGCTGGTCTTCCAGATGCTCAAATTAATGCATGACATGACACCACCAGCTTTACAAATGGAGTTGATTGCATGCTAGTAAGTCTGGCGAATTTGTGTGTGTGTAGTGTGTGTTCACACACACACACACACACAAACACACACACACAAAATTAGTTTCTTTACAAGGGCAAAGCAATGAATGCAATACAATAGAGAATCTGGAATGTTATGCAAAGTAAGGCACTAGCAGCCAACTTCTTAGAATCAGATGTAGTGCAACTCAATGAAATGCTGGCATAAGGAATGCTGCCGCTGCAGCAATCGAAGAAACCACCATGCTGTCTACTGTAGCAAGGAAAAGTCAGCAGTGAAGAGGCCACATATACAAGGATATGAGCCATCTGCTGAAAGTAATAATAATGATTAAGGGGGGAAGAGGCACTCAGTATCAGGCATCTTATTATTTTTAAGCTAGGGTGATGAAGAGATGGCGTAGTTACGTGTGCAGATGTCAAATATTAACTCAGTTCTTATCTACCTTTTACCATTTTGTTTTTTAATTTGTAATTATTTTAAAAATTTTGATCACCTTTTTAGTGAATTGTCTGTACAGATACTGCTGAACTAAATATCATTATATTCTACAATTAGCAAAGAGTGCAAAAAGCAAGTTCCATGCTCCAATTTCTACAACAAAAGTTATACAGTGAAAGCTCGTTAATTCACACCTCATTAATTCGAAATTTCGGATAATTCGAAATGGTCGCCGCAGTCCGGTCCGCAGTGCATAGGAGACCATGTGTAAAACGATTCGTTAATTCGAACAGAAATCGCTGCCTCTACGGATAATTCGAAGCGCGCGCCGCCGAGCGTCATCATCGTCAAACACTAGTGGAAGCTTTTACGGTCGAACAATAGGTGGCACGACCAGTTTTTTCGAGCTTCAAGTGGCCTCCGAGCGAAGGGCGAGCAAAGTATGGCCTCCAAAATCCAGGAAGCAATTTTTTTTTTCGTAGCCCTCCCGCTATCTCTGCGCCTGGCGCCACTGGTACGCGGGACCCACGGGACGCTGAAGAGTCGGCGGAGTAGTCCTAGCAGTCCTAGGCCGCTCCCGGCAGCGTCACTTTGTTCATCGAGCACGTTGTTCGTTCACGCCGTCAAGCCGTCTTATTCCGCATCGAAGTTGCAAGATGCCGTGGGGAAACTACTGCGCGAAGACTGTCAAGGAGAAGGTGGAGATTTTGCGACAGGTTGACCAAGGGAACTCGAGCAAATACGAAATTGCGAGGAAGCACGGCATACCTCCGAGCACGTTGTCAACCTACATACGCAACAGGACGGCCATTGAAAACGCCTATGAAGCCGAGGATTTTGGCGCCAGTCGAAAAAGGCTAAGGGCAGCGAAGTTCCCGGAACTGGAGTCAGCTTTGATTATCTGGGTTAAAGAAATGAGAGCCCAGAGTATCGCATTGAGCGGCCCTATCATCGTGGCCAAGGACGCCGATTTCGCCCTGCGCTTGGACATTGAAGACTTTGTCGCCTCCGAGGGATGGTTTCATCGTTTCAGGGAGCGGCACAATCTCGTATTCTGCACGTTATCTGGTGAGGCAAAGGAAGTGGATGCCGAAACATGCGCTACTTGGAGAAGCGACACCCTGCAGCAATATTTGGAAAGCTACTCACCACAGGATGTGTTCATCGCTGACGAGACAGCGTTATTTTTCAAGTTGCAGCCAGACAAGACGATCACCTACAAGAGAGACAGCTGTGCCGGCGGCAAGCGTAGCAAAGAGCGTGTCACTGTTCTGGTCGCCGCAAATATGACCGGTACGAAAAAGGTCCCCCTTTTTGTGATTGGCAAAGCACTCAAGCCACGGTGCTTCAAAAACATTCGCTCACTGCCGACGGAGTACGCCGCAAACAAGAAAGCCTGGATGACAGGTGACCTATTCAGAAAGTGGCTACTGAAATTCGACAGGCGAATGGAACTGGGCGGCAGACGCGTTCTTCTTGTCGTCGACAACTGTTCGGCGCACAAAGTCGACGTTGAGCTGAGAGCAACTAAGTTGGTGTTCCTTCCGGCAAATACGACTGCGGCCCTACAGCCAATGGACCAGGGTGTGATAAGGAACATTAAGTGCTTTTATAGGCGTCACGTGCTGGAGAGAATGATTTTGTGCGCGGGCGACAGGAAGGACTTCGGCATTACGCTGCTTACTGCCATGCACATGTTGGTGCGCGCATGGGAACAGGTGACCGTGACCACAATCGCAAACTGTTTCAGCCACAGTGGATTTGCAGCTGGAAGTGCGCAGGATAGTTGTGACGTCGACGTAGATGGGGCTGAGGAGCTCATGCCAGCGACGTTGCGCGACACTCTTCGGGGCGTACGTTTTGCAGATTATGTTGAAGTTGACACCGGTGCATCGGTGTGTGGTGCCCTGACTGATGAGGACATTATCGCTCAAGTAGCCGGTGTGCAGCCTGATGCTGAAGAGCCAGAAGGTGAGGAAGACGAAAGTCAGCTTCTGCGGTGATGGAGGCACTTAATGTGGCGCGTCTCTTCTTCAGCTTTGAAGAGGATTCCCTGCGCCGCGTCCGCGCGCTGGAACAGGGAGCCGCAGCTGTGGCATTCAGAGAAAAGAAGCAGATGGCCATCACCGACTTTTTTGGCCAATAAATATTTTTCGTGCCCCCACCCCAGAAATCCACCCATTTTTGCTCACTTTCATTATATCGAATTTTGTTTAATTCGAAATTGCTCAGCGTTCCCGTGGAATTCGAATTAACGAGCTTTTACTGTAAAGGGTTTTCACAGTACATGTATGGAATTGCCTGCATGTTTAAAACTTTTGCCTTTTTCGATAATTTCTCTCCCTTGACATGGGCTGCCAAACTTTGGGAATAAATGGAATTGTTTTCATGTGCCCATGTTTTCGCATTGTTTTGTTGTTTAGTTTTCTTGCTTTATAAAGCCGCACGCAAGCTATCCGAGCACATTGCGGTACCGCAGGTTGAATACATCAGACTTTTTCAATCATTTCTCTTGCTTGGCATGTGCTGCTATGCTTCAAAAATACATGCAATTTTTTCATGCGTCAATGTCTCTCCACTTTTTGTTTTTCCTTTCCAAGAGGCACGATAGCTTTCACATGCACATCCGAAAGCGTGCATGCGGTATGGCTGGTTTCAGTTTTGTCCTTCAGGTGGTTGTCACTTTTTGCGACCACAATGCCTTTTTGCGCTTTTAGCGGCAACAATGATGGCTATCTGGTTCCTAAGCTCCCAAAGGGTGACCGCTTGCGGCTCTTGTTTATTGCTCCCTAGGGTGTGATTACATCTGTTTCTGTGAGGCGCTAAATTACACAAACGCCATCTCGATTGCATTTTCTCTTTGGAGGGCTCAAATACTAGCTCTGCCTAATTAGCGATAAGATGAAGGATTATTATAGATTTCTCGCTCGTTTTGCTTTCCGGACGAGCACACAACCACCCAGTTTTCTTTCTTGCACTCACTCAGGCAGTTTGCTTACGCTACGGAAGTGCACGGCAGTTGCTCTGGTGCTATGAGTCTAGCGGCGATTCTTCCGATGTGGGCTACTCCCCAACAGCCTAATCTGAATATGACTCACTGGACTTCAGTTTGTGAAACTACGATTTACTTGCGAGTTCAGACTCGGGATGATGATGAAGCAGCGACATCTTGAAAGCGTGCACGGCGAAACAATGCAGATCTCTCTGCAAATGATGATAGCGCATGACAGCCTAGCACCACCTCTTAAGCATCATGCATACTATCAATGTAGGCAGTCCTAATCCAATCCAAGCCACAAGTTACATGGCGGCGCATTCCAGCGCGCAGCGTACGTTGTTGTGCCCAATCTTTGGTTACGCTATGGGTAAATACGGAAGCTACGGGGCTGCTTTCAGGTTGAAAATGATCGATCACGCATTAAAAAACGGCAACAGTGCTGTTGACAGGAACTTCAGAGTCGATGAGTTTTATGGTTGCCACTTGCGGCGGCAGCACCTGTAGCTGAAAGCCACCAACAAAACACGTCGGGCTGTCTGTCCATAGGCCTCTAAAACTCGGAAAGATCCGCAGATTGAGGCAGAACTACTAATTAATTCAAGGATCTCCCCTCGGAGACCTTTGAGACACTATATTCTAGTGGCTTTAGTGCCTGCAAATAAATCTTGTTTGTGGTTTTATTAATATGGTAAGCTTTGATTAGTACTTCTGAAAGCTTGTAAGCTGCTGGCATGAGAACATATTTGGGGCCATTTGGTTTTCGTTTCCGCTCTGTACATTATTGCGGCAAATTTTTCCCCATGTAATTTTCTAACCCCTTAACTTTCCTTGTTTTTCTGCGAAAAAGTGCAAGGATCAAGAGAGTAAATAAAGTAGTTTGCCAATTTTTGGATGTCCGACTTAAACAGGATTTCTTGGCTGTCTGACTTAAAATTCTAAGTTCTCAGTTGCATGCAGCTACATAATATTTTGATGACATGTTCACAGGACCCTTGACTACAGACTGGCAGCATTTTCTAATTAGTCGTATATGTGTTCAAAAAGTGTTTTAAAGCATTTTTAAACACCAGATAATTTGTCTAAGCACAGCACTTCACTCCAGAGATGTGTATACAATAAGAGAGGGAGTCACCTCAGTGCTATTCTCCACAAGCTCATTCTGGATGAAGTGAAGGGCATACTGGCAGAAGGTGCACTCCATATTTCTTCCAGTAACTACAAGAGAAGATCAAAGAAAACACCAACTTAGAAAATACATTTACCTGAGGGTTACAAGTTTAACTGGGACCGAATAGTTTGCATGCAATTCGAACTCATATTTATGAAGTTCTAACACTAATTACCAAAATTGAATAATCACTGTCATATGAAACATACAATGTCACTGTTTCAAAGAGAGTAAAGAACACTCAGAAACTACAGCTGCTGCAAACACCATAGCTTCAAGATTGTATTCGGCTTAGAACAACTAAATCTTGCAGATCATGAAAAAAATTTCATCTGAAAATAAGACTATGCTTGTCCATAAGTATATAGTCTGTAGATAAATATTTGATTCTCTTATTGAAATTAAATTGTCCAATAAATTGGTAGTTCACTCGGCTTTGAAACACCGGCCTTTTTAAAAAATATTTTTTGGTTAGAGTTTCCACATTCTATGAGTTTCTATTTTAATCAGACAGACTTCTGGAAAATGTTCGCCTTTAAATATTAGATGTAGTGCCTTGTGTATTTATTTATTTACAGTACCACTAAGAACCCGTGTGCTAGAATATTACAAGCTTCCAAAAAATAGGATAGGCAGAGCAGGATACGAGAAAAATTTGGCATTTGAAATACACGCACGCTATGCAAGCCTTATCATGATACAGTTTTTAATACCAAAGCTGGAAAAATAATGCCACAATTTGCACTTTTTGGAAGTAACACATGACTTGGAACATGCAGCTCCTTGGCATGGTCACCAAGATTAGGTGCTCCCCGGAGCTGCCCATAGAGCACATCAGCTGTATGCAGATCAAAGTGAGTGGAGCAATTGATATGTGGGGTTTAACGTCCCAAAACCGCCATATGATTACGAGAGACGCCATAGTGGAGGGCTCCGGAAATTTCGACCACCTGGGGTTCTTTAACGTGCGCCCAAATCTGAGCACACGAGCCTACAACATTTCCGCCTCCATCGGAAATGCAGCCGCCGCAGCCGGGATTCGAAACCACGACCTGCGGGTCAGTAGCCGAGTACCTTAGCCACTAGACCACTGCGGCGGGGCTAAGTGAGTGGAGCAAGTGGTTTAGTTCAATGAACATAACACCGCTCTGGACAAGACCCAGGGTTTTATTGACAAGATGCAGTGAGAAAATAGGCATGATAGTTCTGCTTAACCTCTATCACCACAGTGCACTGAACCTGTATGGTTCCAGTATTCTTTGACACATACAGGTACTAGGAAGAGGACTTTATAGGCACAGTGTCATCAAGGTATGGTCACCAGATCTACAGTTCAAAAAATTATTTTTTTTAAATTATTTACCTTTTTTGCCCAACTGCCCTATTACAATTTATGCATAAATTCTTGCAGTACTTACCAAATTAAAATATTGCCTTGAAAGACTACATTTTGCATAAAATATACAATTCGAACTTTAAGAAGTTTCAATATGATGTGGTAAAGAGCAGATTTACCAACTTAATGACTGTATTGTGCGCCAGGAGAAAACGAGAGTCGAAAAGTGCAAGTTTTTTTCCAAAGTTACATATTTTTCTTTTTTTTTTTTTGCTGTCACAAGTTTAGTTTGTCAACTTTCCCAACAAAAAAATAAACATTGTAATTAAACTCGAAGTTGGATAAAATTGATTTTAAAGAGCAGAAGGTGGCCAATGAAAACTAACAAAAGCTCATTGTCTAGAGTCCCCTGAAGATTGTCACCTGGCTGCTTGCCATTGCATTTCACATGAGGAGTTCACAAAAGCCACATGCTCAAAATAACCATGACTGCCAGGATCTTTTAATGGAAGAAATCACCTTAAGGGGAACGCGGCTTTAGGATAACGAAAAATGGCAAAAAAATTGATTTTTTGAAAATGAAGCCAAGTTTCTGAAACCTTTTTTCTATCTGATTCCAAAATATTTACACTGAAAATCAAGCAGATGTGCTTTGGAAAATTCTTTTCACCCTCCTAGGTAGCAAAACTCTTTTTTGAAAATCAAGAAAACAGAAATTAAAAAAAATTATAGCTTTGCGATGGCATGGCTGGAAGCCGGCTTCTTGGGCTCATCGGAAAGAGCATTTCTACGTGTACGAATTTCTTGCCTTGGCTAGCTCCTTTCTAAAACAAGTACACGAAAAGGAAATGTTTGAAGGTCAATTCGAGATTCTTGGTTGGCTGTGGCCGCCATGTTGCCCCAGGCTCGCTTCGCCATTGGCTTGATGCTGGCTTCACGAGATCGTCGTCTGCTACTTGTGCATCGCGAGGACATGGCTCCCGAAAAATGCTACTTCTTACGTGATCAAGGCTCGACGATCACTTAGGATATAACTACTTTTTAGTAATAAGTTGTAAACCGACGCACGATCAGATTACTACGAGCAGGTGTGCGATCTACGAGCGCGGCACGTGATCCGAGTAGTCTTTAGGCCTAACTATGCTGACGGCAAGACTGCAGGCAGGAACAACATGCTAGCGCACTCGTGGCGACGTGCTTCTTCACAAGCAACAAAGCACATCACTCTCTAGCTCCTCGGAACCACAGACGGGCATTTCACGCATCGGCAGCGGACCCCACAGTCAAGCTTGTCGCCTCCCCCCTACTGCCAAAGATTGCTCAGAACAGCGGCTAGCAGTTTCGTGCGTCGTCCAAAGAAAATGCGACACCATACCTGCAAGTTCAAGGATTCCGAATCCGGGAGATTAGAGCAACGCAGGGGGGGGGGGGGGGGGGGCACAAAAAACAAGGACATAAAAACAAACAAAAAACCGCGAAAAACATAAAGGGTGGGAGGGGGGTGTCAATCACAATCGCCAACATCAGCCTTGCGGTCTCATAGTGGCTAGGAGTAGTCAAACACACAAGGGTAGAGTTTTTCACTGAAGTGAGAGTCTCAAGGGATCAACACAACTAGCAGAATCTATTTAAGTTAAAACAATCCGTGTAAGTCTTCCTGGGACACACGTGAACGGACTGGATGGCGCAGCTGACTGCCGCAAAAGCGGGGGTCAAAGCTTTGCTCACCACCAGATTCTTTTGACAGGAACGCCAAAACGCCTCTAGCCCCTTTCTATTGCGGTAGCAATTATATGGACAGTCCAGGCTGTTTTTTTGCCGTCGCCACCGCCGCCGTCCTTCACCGTATATGTCCTTCACCGTATATCTATATATATGAACACTAAAAAAAAAAAAAATTGGCCCTGTATCTGCATTTATACTGCCAATGTCCTCGAAAGGTGATAGTCTTGCATGTGGAGAGAGTGAACAAAACATTTATTTGATGTTCTGCTCAAGAAAATCAGTGAATGGTATTCTGAAGGCGCTGCGTTAGAGTGCCTCGAACGTGCAGCGGAGGCGAACGAGCGCATCAAGTCACGTCACACGTGATACATGAGCGCCATCTGGAAGTTTTTTTCAAAAACAAAGCGCGTGGCTCCGAGACGGGTGTGCGCGCCCGCCTCAGAGGTGATAAGGTGTAGAACGCAAGACGACGGGTAGGTGCCACCACCGTCTCGTTTTAGCAAAGCGTTGAAAACACTCGCCTTTTCGTGCAAGCATGCGACGATCAGCGCAGCGTGATAAGCGCTACGGTCCTTAAAATTACTGATGTAAGCCTTTTCTAGTAAAAGGCACACATGCAGAATATATACATGTTATTATGGTGCCCCAGAAATGCGCAATAATTGCTTTTTAATCGACAATTGCACAAGTATAAACGCTGAATCTTGAGCAACATAGGTGGGCGCTGCGGATGGGGTCGGCCGTTTCAAATACCCGATGCTTCAAATACCCGATGTTTCAAATACCCGAGGTGGACAAGCAGACAAATGTACAGTCAGACAGACTAAAATTTTTGCGTTGAAGGTCCCCAAGAAAGACTATCGTCTTTAAAAAAGCCACCCGCGCTCGCCGCCGAGTTCATTGTGATGTGGCGACGCGTGCTTATTTCTCAATCTTTGCCCAATGAATAGATGCCTGTAAGCCAGCGCTTATCCTTTCGTGGGGGAATCATGTGCCATCGGCTTTCACTGAAACGAAAGTGTTAATTGCCGGCCCACAAAGGTCACTTTGGTCTCTGCACAGGCCCCTTTTGGGAAAACAGCGCGCTTTTCATACACAGCAAGGTACAACAACTGAGACACTTGTTAGTTTGTACGCATCTGTACCTGTGATTACGTATCGTGCATCATTTTCGTTTAAGCAGCGCAATACGTGTCGAGCGGTAAACGTTGTTAGTTCGCTCTCGCCCTGCGAGTATCGTTTTCGTGCCTCATTTGTGTGTGAGCAGCACGATGCACGTTTCGCTCTGCTTGCCGTTTTCAGCGTTTCATTCCAAGTTGTTGCTGACGCATTTATTGCTTCGCCCTTGCAGTGAAACTAACTTTTTCATTTTTTTACGTATTTGCTGCCTTGAACCTACTGCTGCGTGCTCTTGGAGCTCATAGATCGTTATCGCGTCGCCACCACCTCGGTTTTCTGCACGGCGGTTGCGGCAAACGGTAGTTCATTTTACAATTCCCATGCGCTTGGCTGCGCACGCGCCTTCAAAACTAAGTCGTTTTATGCCATCTATGATAGCATCTGCCACAGTTTTCTTCCTCAGAGTTTGTGTAAAGCAGCATTGCTTCGACTGGTTGAGCTCACACTTTCGGGGTTCTGTCAGTTATTTCCTTTTTCCGTGGTCAGTTACCACATCGCCATACACGATCGTGTCAAGAGCGACCGCGGTTTCATCCACAGCGGTTGTGGCAACGACAATCACACGCACTGTAGAAGACAGTGCGTGCGCCGGTCGCACGCCTACTCCCGAAGCTTCGGGTACGCTGCTCGCGGCCTTCGTTCGACGGTTTCCGTACTAAATTTCGCATTAACCACCGGGATTAGGAAATGTGTTCAAAACATTCGAATGGAGGCCTAATAAACATAGTGCAATTTGGCTGGGGAATTTCAAGAATTCGTATACCTGCCGCGGTTTCGCATCACTGAGATTATACTGTACGTTTACAT